GCTCTACAGGTAGCAACCTTTACCGTAATGCTTTTTTAAACTAGCGACAGTCTTGGCAATATGGTGTAAAACTGCCCTGAAATGTCGGTACTGCCCCCTGGCGCCAGGAAACTACACACTTTAAAGCATAAACATGGGAAATGGTAAATGAACATCTCTCAAAAATCCATCAAGTGTTCCATCAGGTAGTTAATACGTCTGAACCAGTGGTCACATAATGAGAAGAGCCTGCTCCTGGTTGAGCTGAAACCAACAATTAGGCTCAATTCCCTCTTTATCTTTTGTCTCAGCAGTAGCATCCATGCAAGGATGCAAACTTATTTATATTTTACTTAAAAGTATTTGGTTTGGGTGCAATTTGTAAAAGTGGGAGCAGCGGGTACTTGTGCCTTCACACACCACAAACAGAACTGACTACTCCGATGAGCCAGTACAGTTTGTCCTGGCCATTGAGGTGCTGTGGTATGACCCCCTTTTCTTCCAATTCTCCCTCTCACTGTCTCATTCTCTCAATCTCATTGCCTTCTCTCCATTCTCCTTTCAGTCCGCAGTAATTAGAGAGGCAAAGAGGGGAAAAAAGGAATGTGTGAGCACGCTTTGTGAGGATCGAAAAGGAAGAGAGAGAGAGAGAGAGTAATAGATAAAGAGAGGGAAATGAGAGATAGAGGAGGAGGAGAGGAGAAGAAAGGAGCAGGGAAGCACTATCTTAATTGGCCTGTGTGGCCACGCTGGGGCTGTGATGGTCTGGGCTTGCCAAACCCTGTGCCTCAATAGTTGGCCTGGCCTTACATGCATCCCGTGCATCCGGCCAACCACAACTAACTCTAGTTGTGCTCTTTGGCAGTTTCCAATGTCAAGCCTGGAGGAGCTGTGCCACCCACATCTCCACTCTGCTCCACGGCACAGGAAGCCCCTCTGATAGGGCTGAACATGTGTGTCGGGTTTGCATGATTCATTTGGCCCAAGGTGACCTCTCTGTGCCCTTTATCCAGCTCTGGTATTTGCTGCCACGGCTGCTGTGATTCACGCCCACGGTTCACCTGCATTCCTCAACAAGAGGTAACTCTCCCTCTCATTCAGTTTTCTCAAGGTATTCGCCCAACAACATTACTCACACAGTGTGTGTGTGTGTGTGTGTGTGTGTATGCAATGCACTGTTTTTGAAACTTTGCCAAAACGCGTTATCAGATTTAACGGTCTCAATGGTTTGGTTTGTTTGGATCGATTCATGTCGTGCCAGATGGAGTCCTGTCAGTAACGGTGATGAGAAGCCCTGAGGACAAGGGAGCGTGTGATCTCATTTCTAAGATGTGGAGTCATGTTAAACACCTGCTGGGAAACAGGTTTACTCTTAGAGCACACTCAAGCACCACAAAAAATTAGATATGAGATAAACATTGAATTACCTTAATAAGTTTATGTTTGTGAATGGATTAGGTTTTTACTCGTGGAACTAAAAACCAGGCTTAACAACACAAAGCACTTTTCTGGAGGCTTTTTATGAAAGCATGCACTTGTTTTCTAATTGAATGACATAAATCAAGCGTTTATATTTTGTTGATGAATTAAGAAAAACTTGTGAGCCTGTTGCGTGGCAACTTTTGCAACCTCCAATTTTTGACAGCAAACACTTTCAGCAGTTTTTGATTCATTCTGCAGGAGAATGGACCCTCAGTGGAGTAACAGGGTTTCAGGAGACAAGCAAAGGTGATTTAATAGAGCAATTTATGACCATAAAACACAGAACATGAGCTCCTCCACAGCGATAGCCAACCAGCCACGCCACCTTACCAGAGGAAGCACATGTGCATCTCATCAGTGCAAGACAAAACTGCTCCAAGGCCAAAGAAAAATAGATTTCTGCACTTGTGGCTACAAAAGACCAAACTCTTTGATGCCAACTTAAAACTTACAACAAACAGCTCCAGTAAAGTCTACTGAACCGAGATAACCTCGGCGCTCCAAACTGTTCCACTCCGAGAACACAGATGCCACGCTGTAAATCTGCCTGGTAACAGCCGTCTCGCGGGCGGGTGTGTGCCTCCAAAATTCACATTGAAAAGTTGAGCCATTTCCAAGAGGCATGTGATAATTTGGGACACGCTAAAGTAAAGCGACTGAGATTTTTCTTGAGTTAAGGAGGATGAAAGTTGGGTGTGTCCAGCTCAGACAAAGGGTCCAAATTTAAAGGGGTTGCGTGCAGAAGAGGAAAAACTGGGGAGTTGTGGCGACCCTGCTCAAAGCTGCCTATCATCAGAGTAAGGGCAGAGACAGGCAGCTGTGCAAGCAGCCCTTCCACAAGAGAAAAGACGGGGAGAGGAAAAAAAGGAGAGAGCTGAGTGAAAAGCGTGCTAAAAGCAGCTGGAGATTCCTTTAAGGCCTCAAGATGTAACAAATCATTTGCAGGGTACACAAAGTTTAAACGATATAAAAATATTTCTAGATTTGCCCTCAAGCTCACCGCACATTGGAAAATCTCATCATACATCAAAGATGAGCAAAGAAAATGCTTCAAACACAGTCATAAATCTTTCAGGCATTGTAAGTTTGATAAAATGTATTTTTTTTATTGATATTAAAAATGAAAGTACATGAATTGTGCATTTCGGACGTTCTAGCGTGCAGAGGTTAAATCAATAAAATACACAGGCTTGAGTGAGCTACTGACACATAAAACAGTTGCCATTGCTCTTATCTCTTCATATTCAGCGAAAAGAAGTGGTTGTCTTTCACGCCATTCATAAAACACTAGAGTAGCCTGTTTGAACATTACAATAGTGAATGAATGCAGTCCTAGCAGGAAAAATATAAAATATAATAATAATATAATATTTATTATGATTGCACTGCCTGCTTTGTTGCACAACTGAAGTAGAATATAATTAGAGCCAAGATTCAAAGACCTTTATGGCAGAAATAAGAGATAAAGTATTCTCTTGACTCATCACCACAGTACTTCATGGCATGTATCCATTAAATCTCAGTTCCATTTAGAGGAGTAGGAGGCAAGGTGTGTGTGTGTGTGTGTGTGTGTGTGTGTGTGTGTGTGTGTGTGTGTGTGTGTGTGTGTGTGTGTGTGTGTGTGTGTGTGTGTGTGTGTGTGTGTGTGTGTGTGTGTGTGTGTGTGGACGAGGAAACGATAATGTGGCACAGAGACATGGCCTTGAGTGGTTTAGTCTCAGAAGGACAGAGTCATTGTGGCCAGGTGCAGGTAATCTGCCGTGCCACAATGAGATTATCACTTTAACTCAGCAAAATCCACACCTCTCTGCACTTCTACTTCCTGAGTGCATCAGAAAGGTTCAGCGTGATAGCCCTTCATCAAATGCATAATGGATGCATTACTGGAAGATTGTGAGAGGTGAATTCGGCCGACTCCCAACGCGCTCGGAACGACACAAAATATCACAGAATGCTTTCCAAACAGAGACTGGATGGATGGATGGATGGATGGATGGATGGATGGATGGATGGATGGATGGAGGGAGGGATGGATGGAGGGATGGATGGATGGAGGGATGGATGGATACTCTGTTTGAAAAGACTGTGACCTTTAGTTGACCCCTAATGACAGTTACATTGTTCGAGCATCAGTATGATGATGTGGAGCAGTTAGGACCTCAGAAAGCAACCAACACACACAAGTTGGTCCTTTGCACAATTACAAAGACAATTTAATGAAGGACTGATCGTTTCGCCGCCATCAATACTAAAGTGGCTTGAAAAACATAGTGGGTTTGAATACAATCAACATTATATAACAAATAATGAAAAGAGTCACTCGTCTTTCCTTTACTCAGACAACCCCCGAAAGGCTTCCGAAGATCCATGCAGACCATCCCATATAGATTATGTGCCTATTTTCGTGAGATACCTTGACTAATCGATCCAGGCGATGTTGCTGTTAAAATATTAATTTATGGTAATTACTTCAAATGAAAAAAAAAATAAAATAAAAAAAACATTATTTTTGGTACAAAGCATCTACAAAAAGCCTTACAACTCCAATTGGAAAACAAGAGATCATACAAAATAAATCTGTCAGTTGAGCATCAGTGCTACGTATATTATTTGGACCAATTTTTCAAATATATTTTATAACAAAATAAATAATGCCTTTATACAGTGCCCTTATTTGTATTTCAACAAACAAACAAAAAAAGCTTGGCGGCTCATTACGCAAGATACAGCTCAGACTAAAAGGAAAATAACATCCCTGGAAACTAATTTATATATATATATATATATATATATATATATATATATATATATATATATATATATATATATATATATATATATATATACTGTATTTTCAAGTATTTGTTTTCAGGCAGAAGCAGGTGAATACTACTGATATAAAAGAAAATGTAAATGTTAGTGGACATTATTGCTGTTTTTTATCCCTTTGATTTGAAATTTTGTGCCTTTACTTTAAAACTGTAAAATAACATAACAATACCATGAAAACAAAACAAAAAAATGCCTAACTTGGAAAAACAGGAATGTCACGGTACCAGAAACAGACAGGGTTTTCCTTTTTTTTTTCTCCTTGAAACATTGATATGAAAAAAGACAAAATAAAATATAATCATTATAATCCCACTTGTTCTTTGTCCATGCCATGTTAATTCCTGTCAGAGCAGTCCGCAGAGCCATGATGAACAGGAAGCTATAGCTATAGTACTGTCCCAGTCCAGGCAGTCCATGGTGTCCCATATGTGTCCCTGGTTTGCTCCGTCTTGTCCAGCAGCCTCAGAGGGTCGGGGAGGATCCGGGACTAGGTCTCAGATCACCCCCTTTGCTGCTCATGCTGGCAAACTGGTAATGAGCAGCCGCGAGTACTCGCCATGAGCCTAGGTGCCAACACAGCCCAAACTTTTTCCTCAGTGACTCTTCCCCGTTGACAGTGCCACTGTCGGAAGCTCCCCCATATCCTTTATTTTCCTTTTTTAAAGTCACACTTTCCTTAAAACGGAAAGCTTATTATTCATTCATTCAAAAAGTAAAAAAAAAAAAAAACGTGCTTTTCCACCTCTTCTTTGAGTCCATTCCCAAAGCTAGCACCATGACATTTTTTTAAGCTACACGTTCATTGTTCATAAAAAAATAGTGCCTTTTTTTCTTTACTTTGACGTAATCCATGGCAATGTGCAATTTTGCAGATTTTTTTTTCTGCTTTTTGTTTGTGATCAAAAAAGGTGCTGGAACAGGAATCTAATTTTGCAAAATAATTCCTTACAGTGTGGAAGTCCCTTTATAGGAAGTGGTGCAAAACTAATAAGAAAAAAAGGCCTAACACGAGATTTTCTTTTGCCTCAGGAAAAAAAATCGTGTGGAATGGATTCTTTCATGCAAGCTGCTCTCCTCGTTCAGTCGTCTTCCACCAGGAAAAAAAAATAGAAAAATAAAAAAAAACATTCTGCTTGGTGTCCTCTCGACACTTGGAAACACCAGATCTCTTTCATCTTCTTTTCCCCTTTCCCTTCTCTCTTTTGCTTAGGGATCCACCTGAATTGCATTCAGCCAAATTGTTAAAGTTTTGTTTTCAACTTTTGTGTTTGTTCCTTTTGTATCGGTGACTGAAAGAGAAAAGGAGCTAAAGAGTTCAGACAGGAAGAATGTGAAGGCATGTTTGTGTGCTGGAGGAGGGTGGGTGGTTGAGGTTTAAACGGGGGTGGGGGGGGGGGGGCATTAGAAAAGGGCCACGGGTTCAAGACGTAGTGGATGAGAGCGGGGCGGGGGGAGGCACTGGTGGGCCCGGACAGGGCAGGGGAGGTCAAAGAGGACTGCCACAGAAATGACGTCAGAGACAAAGCTATAATCCCCTAGTCTTTTTGTCACCCTCATACTCTTGTCTGTGCAAAGGGCTGGCAGCGGGCTCATTTGTGGTTGACAAAGTTGTCCATGGTGTGCAACACGGGGGGCAGTTTGGTGGGAAGGCTGATCAGTGGCCTGTGGAAGATCAACTGCTCCCGGGCTTTAATCTTCTCCGCCTGCCTTCGAAACTTTTTGGCCCTCAGGATGGCAGGGACGCCCCTCCGGAGCCGCTGGGCCGCCTTCCTCTGCCACACATCGTATTTGGGATACTTCACGGTCCCCTGCGGCTTTCTTAGGCCTTCCTATTATGGCGTCCCGTGCAAAAAGTCAAGAAAAGAGGAGAGAGAAAAAAAAGAATCAGTGATTTAATCAGCAGAGATAAGATACAGTCATTGTTGGGCCGGTGAAATGGAAACCAAATGTCATCCATAAAGCCCTTAACGTCACAACAGCCTCGACTTGCCTCCAGCTGGCCCTTGTTTTGGTTTCCTCCACTGAGAGAAGCTGTCAACAAGCACTTAGTTCAGCCTCTTTAACATTGTCAAAAGGAAAGGCAGCCTCACTCGCCTCATATACATATTAGCAGCCTGTTGTCATTCAGCCTACAACTCGCTGAACTGTCATTTCCACAGAACCAATAAAAAGCCGTCATTTTAGAGCATCTAAGCTCACACTGGAGACACTTAAAACAGTTGTAGGTGCTGCTTTGAGCAGCACAGATTGAGACAAAGTGGAAGTGTTGACAGCTAAGCTTGGATTTATGTGCAAGTAGACGGTGCTCCATATGAATGGCTTGTTTTGGTCCTGCCACTTGAAGGGTGTTTATCCCCCTTCATTCAGTACAGGCCAGCTCAATAGGCTAAGAACAGCTGGCCCTCAGAGCAGGCCGTACCCATCAACTCTCCCCGCTGAGACAAACTGGAGACGTGCCCAAACTAGTTTCCCAGCTGCTTTGTTTATCTGTTATTTTAAGTCTGTGTTTTAGGAGAAAATTTGCCATGTTTACGCATTTTTGTTCGCATCCACAGCAATCTCACACCACTGATTTGAACTTTTGACATTTTTTAAACAAATGTTTTCCAGCCTAATGGGATTTTGATGCAGGACGAAGAGGCGTGGTTTCGAATTTTGAGTGAAATTAGAAAATGTTGCATTCCCCAAAGGATCCCTCGCATTCTTTGGATTGACATTTTTAAGAGTGTGCTGTTATTTGCTCTAATAATCAAAATGTGGTGTTTTGTTTGGCTTCAGTGATCACCTCCATCCCTGAGACTGGTACACTTGACTAGTGACGCTGCCATTACGTTCTGTTTTGGTGTTTTCCAAGCTGGTCAGCACTTTGCATGGAAAACAACTGCTTACTTTTGATCATTTTACACGATAAGACAGTTTTTCTGCAGAGTTCAGCCTGTACTCCGTGTCAGTGGTAGGGGTGAGGTACATAGGCAAATAGAGGCTCAAGAGATTGGAGGACATGATAGGTAAGGTGGACGTGTGTTTTCCCATGCCTGTGTGTTGTTGTTGCTGCTCGGACGCACCTGCTTTAGTACGGGCATCACAGGTATGACCTGTAGAGATGTGGCCGATACATCCCTCTCTGACTTGGCGGGTTTGGCACAGTACTGCTCCAACAGGTTGAGGTCACAGCTACGGAAACAACACTCCTCTACAATCCCACGGTTCTGGGAGCGCCTGTTGTTGCCCCTGCTGGTTGGCCTACCTGAGGAGAAACACAGCAGATATTGAAGAGAGGCAACTAGGAGAGCGAGGTTAAAACCTAAAACAACACAGCTCTGGCACAGTAGTGCATCAGGGTTGTTTTTGCAGGATTACTTCAACAATCATAGCAGCCTTTGGAGAAAAGAGGATAAAACAAAAATCTGTGACCACCAGCAACAAATATTTTTGGCGTGAAGGATAATCTGATTAGGCCTATTTATCTGGAAGTCCTTAAACGAGCGGGTGCACGAGTAAACACTCTGTTGTGTCGTGACCAAAAGACAAAACCTGAAGTGCTTTGGAGTGAGTAAACATTTAAAGTTACAATTCCTTGACAGGCCTGTGTGCTCCGTGGGAAGTGAGAAGGGGTTTACGTTACAAGGACCAAAAGGAATTACCACAAAGAGAGGGAACGTGCTGAAGAATAAGGTGTGGGGGTGGATGGTTAGCATGTTGCACACAGTAACTTTATACACAATCAATAAAGGCCTTGTTTGAAGCCAAGCAACCAGCACAATGTCTGAGAAAGCTCACGAGAGGCGCGGCTAGATTTGATTGCAGGAAGAGGAGCGGGAGAGAAAAAGAAAGAAGTTATCCAGGGAGAGGATGATGACCCAAAATGGAAAAACATATCCATTATGTTATATATATATATATATATATATATATATATATATATATATATATATATATATATAATGTGTGTCAACAACAACCCTCTTGCATAAAGCTCTCCAGCTTCTCTGTCATCAATACAATGGAAGCAACGATCAGAGGTGATGTTAATGATCTGACATCAAGCCCCCCCCACCCCCCACCCCCCACCCCACACACACACACACACACACTCCTCTTGTCCAGCTCATCAGTGTGGTCTCCTGGCCTGGGAATGCTGGTGCTGAGGTAACTGGTATGCCTCTCGGGGTGCTATTACTTTACTGGCAAACAAGTGGCCCATTGTGTCGCAGACTCGTGTGTGTCTTCGAAACTCGCCGGCTTTTCATATGCAACGAGAGGTATGGGCTGTAAGCAGAGTCAGCAGAGCAGCCCTGTGGACGAAGTCTTGAGACACAGCTGGCTATAATCTCTCCCTCCTCTCTACACTGCGCGCGCGCGTGTGTGTGTGCGTGCGTGCGTGTGTGTGTGTGGAAGAGAGAGAGAGAGAGAGAGAGAGAGAGAGAGAGAGAGAGAGAGAGAGAGAGAGCGAAAGCGCGCGCGCATGGGCGCCAGTGCGTGAGAAAGAAAAATAGCAAACACGCATACCTCACAGCCACAGACAGCCTCAGCTATCCAAACAGATGTGCGCAAATGAACAACAGGGAGATTCAACATGAGGAAAATAAAAATTAAGAGAGAGAGCTCAGTGAAAACTTGTAAGGCTCCGGAAACCTACTGAAATAGAAGCCTCTGTCTTCGCAGACAAACTGCAGCGCATCCACCAGTTCTCCCCCACACAACGTCTCCGCCGAGGCCGTATCCACAATGTAGAATGTGAGAGTCAGCGCGAGCAGGAGCGCACGGCTGCTCGAAGACATCTTTTTGACCTAGGGGAAAATAACAGTCAATAAATTGAGATTTTAAAAATATTCTTTAAAAACTGCACAAGTAAGGTCGCGTCCAGATGTTTTGTTTTGTAATGTAAGAGATTAAAGTCTTAAACTCGCGCGCGCCGGTCCTTCCAGTGCCAAAAGCTGCTCTGACCTAGTAACAGCAAGAGTCCGTTGAGTCAAATGATATGAAATAAACACCCGATTGTAATCAGCTGCTGTCATGTGCTTTTTGGGGAACATGGGGGAAGTGCTTATTCCGAATGAATTTAAAAAAAGTCTCTGTGTCTGTAGCTTTCACTGTCTTACACAACTCTCCAGGAGTTGCAGCGCTGGCTGCTCGATAGTTAACCACCCGAAAAGTCAGACTCAGCATATATTTTCCCCTTGCTCACCCCTGAGTGAGCTCAATGACCCTCAGACCTACCGCCCCCTATCTGCCAGTAAGACGACCAGCTGTTTGCTCCGTGTCCGGCGACCGGCGCACCATCCAGAGCATGGAGGAGACTAAAACTCTTTATTTCTCTCTCGCTCCTGACAATTCGCAAAAGCCTCGTGCGTAATTGCTCTCTTTGCAGATTCTGCATCTTAAACCGTCCTCTTTTGATCCCTGTTGCAGCAAAACAGAGTGACTGATTCTCCCGGCTGCACATCCCACCAACCCGAAGCCGCTCTCGCTCAGTCAGAATAATTTCGTGCCTTGCTGAAGAGCTTTCAGCGCGACGCATTCAAGAAAACATCAGAAACTCCCAGCGGTTTACCTTTATTCTGCTGTTCTCCGTTCTCCGGCAGGTGTGGCAGAGAGAGTGATGTCTGTGCTGGGTTTCCATATTCAGATGGCAGTATACCAGTTATTTGGTAGCAGATTGTTGCAGGTGAGTTATGTTTCCCAGTTGGTGAGGCTTGATAGAGGTGGTGAGTGAGGCTGTCCCAAAGACCAGGCGACAGGCAAAACTTCTCAGGGAGAAGTATTTTATACCAAAACACGCCCCTTACACCCATCCCACTCCCCTCGCTCCTCCTCTCTTCACGGTTGATAAAAAATGGCCCAAAGATGTTTTATGGAAAAGTGCTTAAAGAAACGGCGACAGGGGAACGAGAAGGGTGAGAGAGTCGCAGCATTTGGAACGCCTCCATTGGCATTCTCCTCTGCGTTTACGCGCCGTAACCTGCAATCACAATGTTTACACTCAGGGCGCAGACGGAACGAGAATAGCTCTAATTCCTGCGACTCCAAGAAAAATGTCAATGTCTCCGCCCTTTAATTAAGATTAAAATTGGGTGAAATCAGTGCTCCCGGTGTCTGCGACTGTCCTCTGACTCAGGTGTTGATGATGCAGTCACCGGGGTCAGAGGTGTCTCTGACAAGAAGAGAGAGAGAGAGGGAGGGGGGCTCTCAGCTGGTGGCCTGTCGGAGCCAAAAGTTTGGAGACCTTAACTGACTTTAAATGTTGCATCACATCACGAAGACTCTGGATCAATAGTAATAATTAGTCTGCTCATGTATTGTATTGTGATGGACAGAAGACGGAAGCTGCCGGGCTCTGAGGGTGTGGTGATTGGCTGGTCCTCGTTATGGATAACGAGGCCGGGTAGGATAAAAGGGTGACAGGTCTACGGAGATGTGTATATTTGTAACAGGATGGATTCCAACATTAAGAGCAAATCAAGATGTTTGCTTCACAAAGGCGCACACCATCAAGCACCTTGACTTTTTGCATAGGTACTACGTCCCCTTATGTAAGAGCATCTTCTGCAAGAATTAAAAAGTCCTGACGCGTCTCCAGAGTTTGGCTGACACCTGCTGGTCTGCTCGGAGTACCTCTGTTTGTTTTTCTTGCAGCTTTCTAGTAATTGCTGATCCAGGATCTGTACTCAGCCTTCATAAGGCCAGCAGCAGCAGGTGATATGTTGGGGCAAACTCCCCTAAGATCGTGCATAAAATGTCACTTTCATTTACAAACCAGGGACGTGTTTAAACAACCTAAAATCCTATAAATGTAAGAGGAGGATTAACTAAACTTAGGACTTTATTTTTATGCTTTTATTTTGAAATTGGGCAATATTCTTCACCGCTAATTCACTTGAACAACAAAAATATCAGTGACCCCTAGGGAGGAATAAGTTTTAAGCAGCACCTGCTGAACAGCTCCCTCTTGTGGCAGAGCAACAGAACAGGAACTTTCAATTTATTTAATATTGGAAAATGCCCAATGTCATTACAAATATATCAAGAAATCCGTCAGAAAAATATTTCCCTAATATTTTATTATTTGTCGCATTACTATCAATAACTTATTGTAATACATATATTTTTGGTGTTCTTTTTTTTATAACACAATTACACATTAGTACAGGGCAGGACATCCAACTATATAAATATACATAATAAATACATTTTTCATAATGTTATGTTGATTTAAAAAATCTGAAAATAATCATATTTGCTTTATTTTTTAATACATTCATGATCACAGATCCTTTTCATTTTGGCTCTGACGTGAATCTGAAACACTTCTGCTTTAAAAGCATCAACACATCATTTCACAAAAGCATCCAAACCCCAGCAAAGCATCAAGCGGACATCTTTGGAGACTTTTCACACACTGCATTTTGAGGTTTCATGGTTGCAACATTGTGGGTCAACCGGGCAGAAACAAGACGAGCAACAATTCAGAGTCATACTGGCGACAGCACAGGGAGATCAACACACTGTTAACACGCTGGACACGACAGAGCTCGGCGGAGGGGACAGGATGATCGTAGACCAGGCTTTCATCATGACAAAACGCTGAGGGCATCTGTCAGCACCTTGATCTCATCTTTCACACTCTCCAGTCCTCCCTGGATCTTTAGTGGGTTGTCCAGGACCTCGACGCTGCAGGTGTATGGATCAAACCGCACCGAGAAGGGGCGCTTGATGCCAGCGACGTATGATCTGGTCAAAGTTTGGGATGAAAAACGATCAAAAAGAACAAAAAAATTCCAAAACCAAGTAAGCTGATCATATAAATTCATGCTTCTCCAAACATCCCAAGAGCTGTGTTCAACTGCAGCCTCACGACTGTCAAAACACTCTAAAGCTACTTGTTTTGATGAGCAGCATTTCATGTGTTTGCCAAATAAAACTCTGGTATTTTTCTTGGTAGGAAATACTATATTAGTAGCAGCTGTCTTCTGGCTGCAATGGTTGACCTACAAAAGTTTGTGGCCTTGGGGCTTGGCTGGCTGTTCTCTGACCTTGTCCTGACTTAACCCCCTCACGCTTCTTTTCCTCTTCTTTCTCCTTACAGCACGGTTTTATTTGTTTTTGATCCTGCAAAGAAAAAGTACCTGAATTTCTCTTTAGCGTCTGAGAAACTCTCAGAAACGAAGTAGACGGGCTGGTACGTCTGGTCTTGATAAGGTTGGATGGCTGCAGCCTCTGGATCAAACTCCCGAGTCTCCGGTTCATCAGAAAGGCAGTGCTGGGAGGAGGTAACAGGAAAGTGAATTAGCTGAGGAGATCAGCTGGCTTTGATTCGTGTTTTTAAAGAAAGAAAAACACACTGGAACATACCACAAGTTCTCCATAAGAAGAAAGCAGTCCAGCCCCGTAAGCTTTTACTTCTCCGTTTTGTTTGCAAAGGCCGTACTCAACGGTGAACCAGTACAGCTGGAGTGGGATGATTAGGGAGAAAATGTGCATGGATTTATTTTTTATGCATAATATTTTAGATTAAAAACTGAGCAAAACATTTGGAAGCAGCTTATTCTGTGGTAAAATTAAAGTTGTAATTTCTGCATGCTTTACTAAAACATCTAAAATGTGCAACAATTTTTTTTCAGTCTCTTCTAAATGATTTTGAAGCAGTCCATTTGTTTTGTTGGTGTCTCACCGTGGACAATTTCTCAATATCTGCGTCTGATGCCCCCAGTGACGCCAGACCAAGGTTCTGTGAAAGAAGAAAAACAATACTTGTTACCAAATTGTTGCTGCACAAAATAGGAAATGTTTATCTTTAGAGCCGTGGAGCCCTTTGGACTCTAACCTGTGAAAACTGGGCAAAAGTTCGGTCAGCCAGCATGGGAACATGGCCTAGCAGCTCATGGACACAGTCACTGAGGAAAAATCAGAATTTACATTTGAGTTTTGGATGCAACATGAGTTCGCCACTGGTTTTACAAAGAAACCACAAAAATATACTTAAATATACTTACTTAATATACATAAATATTAAACCTCTTGAGTATAGGAAAATTAGAAGTTCAAGTGTTGTATTTGTTTGTCATGTTAAAATTCAAGTTTAAAAGTTCTTTAACCTCATTTTGGTTGATTGAAATGTAACTTAAATGAGCAAAAAGGCAGTTTAAGAGAAACTAAACGTCAGTTTGAGACCTCTGCAGACTCTGTTACCATTATGGGTCTGCAGGGGGGCAAAGTCTGAGAAACAAACTCAAAGGAATCAGACGAGGACTCACGGTTCTGGGGAGTGCATAGGGGATGAAGCGTGTCGGATATACTGGGTGCACTGGAACACGCGGAAAGCCAGACTGGCCAGAAAGTCCCTGGCTGAGAGCAGACCTGCCACTGGGCGCAGCTGAAAGCCTGTGCGTTCTGTGAGACCATATAGCACAGTCACCAGACATCTGGTTTCAAGGGTTCGCTTCTCTCACAAAACAGCACGTACCTTTGAGAAAGCGTGAAACATCTTCCAACTGAGGAATGTTGTCTGGACTGTACCCACAGTGCCTTTCTAGCAGACGAAAGGCCTCCAGGTGTTCTTTGCAGGCGTGGGTGGTGTACAAATCCCTCAGAGTCCCATAGACCTGTCGCCTGATTCACGATTAAATACTTTTTTCACAAAAATATACTTAAATATACTTACTTAATATACATAAATATTAAACCTCTTGAGTTGCTGCCATCACGCAATGCTTTTAAAGTGATAGTGTGTATTTTTCCTGGCGATAGGGGGCAGTAGATGCCTAAATCGTTGCAAGCAAGCAGTATTTTTGTGTTGGAGTAAGACCTTCCCAATGGATGCCCATTAGGGTCAAAAAGTCCTGGGGAGTGCAAACTTCAGCAAAATAACAAGCACATCAGACTCCTTGTCATCACTGGCAACAAGTGAAGTGGTAAATGTGTAAAACAACGTTTATGAATGGCAAAAGTTTTGTAACCGTTTGTTACAAATGAGTGAATGCATTGTGTCCTCATGGGCCCCTGTAGAAGGCAACTTGACATTTAATATGGTGTCGTCTACAGACTTAGACCCGCTCCTATGTATTTTAGACCTGATTTTTATAGTTATATGTTGCGAAGCCGCCAATATTTTTCAACAACTGGGAATCCTTTCATTCATTTTCAACAACATTTTGACGGACATTTCTAGAAATTAATGGTAAAAACTACACATTTTTTTTAAAGTGTCTGTTTCTTTAGTTGTATTCCTTTGAAATTCCTTATTAAAGCATTATGAGTCTGCTATGGCAGAAACAATTTATAATTTCTTGTTTCACTGTGATTAATTGAGCTGGGCTAATCAATCCTGGTCCTCAAAGGTCACCTGCATGTTTCCACCCACCAACACACCTCAAATGCTGAGTTCCAGGCTTCTGAACATAGAGGTGATTCAATCCTTAGATCAGGGGTGTTGGAGGAGGGAAAAAGCTAAAACATGCAGGCCAGTGACCCTCCAGGACCAGGCCTGAGCTGATTCATCTGCTAATCATATGAATATTTTTCTAAAGCATGCAACCGTTCTTACCAGGTGTCAATCTCATCCTCTGTGTACTCCATTTGGGGGATTGGCTGCCCACTGAAGACAAACAGATGCACATATTCATCTGACAATGTAAACGTTCATATGCATTGTGTCAAAAGAATGAATCTTACTATCTGTATGTGAAAGCAATGTCTCCAATCATTTTCCTTCTCTGTCTGTAGACAGTGTCTCTGTAGCCCTGGTATGAAAGAAAACCGTAAATATTTCATAATGGTTTGAAAACATAATCAAAGTGTTCCTGCTCACACGCTTCAGGCCAAGGGCATTACTCACAGGATGGTCTTGATCTAAGTCTGGATCAAATTTTGTGACCAGATGATGACATCGGTCCAGATCCGCTATTTTCTTTGGGAACCAATGAACTGGTACAAAAAACATAGAAAAGCAAACATATCAGAGCTTATTTAACCAACACGGATGCAACATTTTAAATGTGTTTAAGGGAAAAAAGATTACATTTAACTTCTTTGGTGGTTTTGACATCCTCTGCATTCCTCTTGATGGAGCTGACCAGAGTGCTGACGTCTGAGAGGTGAAGTTCACAGCGAACAAAGTACTCCAGGCCCTCAAGGCTGTCCTTCAGCTTTCGGCACGGTCGCGTCTCCAAGTGATGAATGTGGGCTTCAAATGTCTAAAACACAGTCAACGCCCTGACTTCAGGATTAGGCAGAATGGATTTTCATTGCAGTTGCAGCGCTACATAAAGTGTTGAACAGTTTCTTTAATTTCATGAATTTACAGAAGAAATTGAAAAATAACCTCTGTCACGGTCCGTGGTGAGCCTCCTGCATGTAACCTGTTTTCTCTGAGTATTGTTTCAGGTGGGTGTGTCTGAGAGCCACCAGCATGCAGCTGATCTCGTCATCAAGGCCCAGGGGATTTAAGGAGCAGTGTGACACTTCACCACGCCGGATGATTGCTCAGTTTTGGGTAGCTCTAGCCTCTGACCCGTTTTTGATCCTGTGTTTTTCTAGTTCCTGTTTGTTACCAGATCTTGAGAAGTATTTGCTGGATTTCCTGTCGACCAGAAAGACCCTGGCTACTCTTCCCTGCTCTGCTCCAGGTTTCACTCCACACTCCACCATCTCAATACCAGCTCGGATTCCTGCACTTCATATCTCGCTGTCTCCTCCCCTGGCCGCCCGCTCTCAGCCGCTCACCTGCACTCACCAAGCCTCTGCTCCTACCTCCTCTCCGATTCAACAGTTCCTCCTCCTTCTGGAGCCTTCCTGCTCACCCGGACCTGACCTAGCCCTTCCAGAGGCTCTCACCACTATCTACATCAGTATAAGCTCCCCTCCTCAGACTATCCTCCATCCTTCCCTCCATATACTCACTCTTTCTCCCGCCTCAGAATCCTCTCCTGGAGCCTTGCTGCCAGCCTGCACGTCGTCTGTTCCCGTTCCTCTCATTTAATAATAAAGAACGTTTTATTTACTTGCCGGTTTCTTGTTGTGATTCTGCATGTCGTGGGTCAAGAAACTCTCACCCAACATGACGACCTCATTACTTTCTTCATAGTAAATATTTTTATTGGGTTTGATTTATAACCAAATATTAAAATTAAAAGAGTGTTCATAGATTTTAAATCTTTTAAAATTTTGATTTGAAACAACTAACCGCAAAAACGTTTGGAGGCCTTTATCTTTTAGTAAATGGCTCCAGAAAAAAATACAATATTAATCAAATATTCTGACATGTTGAAAATTTTGTCTAGGATGTAAAACATTTTAACAAGTTTCTCATCCAATGCAAATGAGATTTTTAACAAGCATCTCTCAAAATAATCTTAACAGCGTTTTCTTGTGTGTAATATAATTAATGCTCATTTCTTAACAGTCTGAAGATCTTCTACCTCAAACACTTTGAGTGTCCGTGACAGCGCAGCGGGAGTCTTGGAGCTCCTCAGGGTGAAGAAGATGTTGAGAAGCGCTTTTCCATCCTCCTCCTCAAACACGATCTGCTCGCTGGCTTCGGCAGCCTCCGCCGCAGCAGCTTCCCTCTCCTTCCGCGCGTCTTCGATCAAACTCTGGCGTCTGCCAACGAATCTTGGAGACTGTTTAAAAAAAATCCCGTATTTTATATCACAGTCAAAGCTGCTGCTGAACCAAACTTCTAATGTCTTCAGCGCGCATTTGGAGATGCGCATTGAAACAGGCATGCATTTCAGGAAAATCCTAACGTAAACCACCTCAGTATGTGTTCTTGCACCTTTGGAGGGATTAAAACGTGCGTAACGTTTCTGCGTTTCATGTGCTCCCGGTGCGTAATGGAGAGGTTGCCACGCGCTCTTTACGCGCATAGGTGGACATTTAGATTCAAAACTTGACAAATTCCCAAAATACAATACAAATGTTACGCTTAAATGCATGAAAATATGTTTAATGTTCATCTTGGAGCGTTTTTTCTTACCGTGATGGAGTCCGACCTCTCCAGCTCGGATGCTGCTCTGCGGATGCTCTTTGTGGAGGACGTGGAGCTGCTTGACAGAGGCATCTTCACGACTGTGTTCTGTGCTGACTGCGTGCAACAAGAGTGCCTGCGTGTTTGTGGGGCTCGCTAACCTCCCCAGCCGGCGCTCAGTTTTTTCTCCTTTTTTTCCCAGACAAGTTTTCTCTTTTTATAGGATCATTTGTTTGCAGTTTCTGACGTCAAACACGCTAATCTCACTCCAATCAATCGGCGCGTGCATCTACCAGACTCAACTTTTAACCGTCCATATAAAATATTTATGAGCCAATAGGACAACACAAATTGAATTCAAAGCATTTTCACGAAGCTTTTGACACTTTTCGAGGAATTGATATTTAGTATTAAAAGGTTTGTTGTGTATTTATTTATAAACATCAGTTTCATTTTATATTAAACATTTTCATTTATTGCATAAAATAAGTCACACAAGTAACTTTGAAGACTGTTGTCCCTCCCTTTTAAAACGATAATCAAAACTCGGGGCTTTATTTAAAGGTTAGACCAAAGAAAAGTCAACTGTAGAAAATTAAGTCACTTTATCAGCTCTATCTAATCTCCACAGCTGCTGAGAAATTAGATTTTAACGTGAGGAAGAGAAAAAGAGACTGGTGGTGCACAACAAAGGAAGCAAACACCTTGTTTTTCCTTTTCAGGTCTGCTTTCTCCCTCAGCAACAAGCACATCAAGTGAATTTGCAGAGCTTTTGGCTGATGACTTTAGTGGTTAACATGATTGTGAATGATGTACGGTGCCCAAAGGCAGGGTCAGGTAAAAGGATTATTTGTGGACCTCTGGCCACACGCTGCCACTGCAGCGACCCGGAAAGGTGCAGAAAAGGCAGATGTGACTCTTTCATGAAAATGCTAAAGAGTCATCAGCCAATAGCTCTGCAAATTCACTGGTATAACCCTGGACACAGGAAAATGTGACTCACCTGAGCTGGAAGAAATAAGAAGTAAAATGAAGGGACAGTAATATAACTACAGCTCTGCTTTAATTAAGCCTAATTTCAGCAAAAGACTCTGGTTTGTTTTCAAAAAATCTTAGTTTGGGTAGTTTTTCCATTTTTAACATGAAAGGCTCAACAACAGACAGCAGCTTGACATCCAGAGACAGGAACAATTTCATGCTTCTTACATCCATCTGTTTTTAAGTAGTTTATGAGGAAATCTGATAAACATGATAAGAGACAGATAAAAACGCATTACTGTCTGCCTGAAAAATGTACGACTCACTGCTGAGATTTTATATTTACGTTTTTAGTAGAAAATAATTGAATAATTGTTTTCTAGTCCTGCTCTCCGAAGAAAAGCATATGTATCCATGTTTAAAATGTCATGTAAGTACCCAGTAAAACCGGTTGCTGCCATATGACATGAAGACAGAGAGGCTGATTACCCACGCGTCCCAGCTGTGGGAAACTGTCACACAGCACTGTTCCCTGAATCCAAGCACCTCCCATTCATCTGAGCAGAAACACACACACCACCTCCCGCAGGCGCCTAAACATGAAAAAGATTAAACAGAAAACGTGTCTTTTAATCCTTTTTTGTTTGTGACTGTAAATATTATAAAACAGTTAGCTTGAAGTTTGTTTTTATGCAAAAAGGGTAGTTATCTTACCTTTTTTCCATAGCTCTCTGAATGATCTCACTGTCCCCGAGCGACACCTGAAGAGTTTAGATTAAATCTTGGTTAGTTTTCCTCCTTCTTACGGTTTGTTTGTGCACTAATCACACCTCTGGTCAGATCAAAACAGCCACATCTGAACCTGTCGGTGGAAGAAGGTCTTACAGTGTGAGTTTATCCACCGTCCATCCAACAAAGCTACCTGTTGTACGCTGCAAGTTTAAGCCAAAAGCCTTACTGCAGCTAGGCTTGCTTTGCATTCTGGGATGCAAGACAGCACACTAACATCAGTGTAGATGAACCAAGGGCTCACGTGGAAAAATAACAAGACACATTTAGGCTGATGACTACAGAAATGGCCGGAAACCGTGAAGGGTTTGAACTCTCTTACGTGTTTCAGCTGTTTTTAAGGAATGTAAATGTGAACTAATTCACAGCATTTCACACAAAAGCCTTTTTAATTACTTTTTCTCCGCCCTAAATGTCGCTTCAAGTTATTTAGATGGATTTACGTGAAAGTTGGTTGGGGAAAGTCTGGCCTGTTTCTTTCCAGCTGGAAATTCAAGATATTTCTGCAGGAATAACAGTGAAATGTGGAATTTATTTATAATATTGCATCATAACACTTCCACAGAACTAAACTGCTTTAAAACTTCTGTAAATCAGTTTGCTCTGATTTGACCGCTGATCCAGATGTTTCACGGTATTAGCCACATTGATCTTTAAACTAAATCTATTTAGTGCATTACCAAATAAAGTTTAACGTGTTTTTCCTTCATAGCTCACTGGTCTTGGGTTTAAACTGATCATGTCTTGTTCATCCCAAATTCGGTCATTTCTCCCATAACCTGACTGTCTCCGGCGGGACTCTAGTCTTCCCCTCTGAGATGTTTCCCACCGCGGCTGGCAGCAGGTATCATAGCTACCTTTTGTTAGAAATGTCACACTTGGGAAAGCAACACCTTTCTGCCATTCAAGCCTCTATGTTTATCCAATTCCATCGCCTTTTCTGGAAGTGCCGACGTGTCCGCAAATGACACCAGGATGATAATTATTACAATTATGTATTGATTCAGCTGCACCATTGTGGCTTGGTGTCAGCCTTTCCCTGTGTAATTGAGAGACTTCACAAGGACTAATTGCAGCTAACGCGACCAGCTGGGCCGTTAGTCCTCATCCTCCGCTTTTCTTTTCTTTCTGTCTCTGCTGAACAGTGTTGATCACCTCACTGAAGTACATCAGACTCAATCAGCCGATAAGCAGAAAGTAAATATCCTATTAAATGTAATGGTGTTGTGTAAACATGTTTAAAAATAGGAATTCACTCTGACACTTCTTGTGTCTTTGTTTGGTTCTCAAGTACAAAAAAGGAACAAAAATATTGAAATAAATAAAAATAATAAAATGGAGACATTTTAAATTAGAAAATTCTGATGATTTGTATAAATTTATCCTCTCTTGACAATGAAACAATGAAAAAAAAAGTTTGGTTACACTTTAGTTTGGGAACACAAATTAACTATTAATTATCTGCCAATTAATATGCATATTAGTGGACTACTACGTCTGAATTAGTCATTATTAAGCTATTATTAGGTGCTTATTACCAATGCTGTAATTCTATTATTAGCAGGCCATAAATTAAGAGTTTTATCAAAAAAAGCCATTCATAATGGTTTGTTGACTGAAAGTAAATGGTTTGTTGCTGATTAATGCACATACTAATTAGCTCAAATCAATATGTGGCTTTTAAAGAAGTAATTCAAGGGGAATAGTTATTCTGCATGGATCAATAATATTATGTTCTGGTAGTATGTAAATAATTACCAAACTCCACATGTTAATAGAGCCTAAACAACAATCAATTAACCACGTGTAAGCAAGAATATGCTCCCCATTCTAAAGTAAGATTTTGTTCATACCTAATTACTAGTAGTTTAGTATTAATTAACCATTTAAAGGCAAGAATGTGTTCCCCTTGAATTGCTTCTTTAAAAGCCACACATTGATTGAGCTACTTAGTGTGTGTGTTAATCAGCAACTAACCATTTACTTTCAGTTATTAAACCATTATGAATGGCTTATTTTGATAAAACTCAAATTATGGCCTGTTAATATTAGAATTACAGCATTAGTAATAAGCTCTTAATAAGTGCTTAATAATGACTAGTTCAGACTTAGCAGTCTATTAATATGAATATTAATTGGCAGCTAATTAATGGTTATTTGTGTTCCCTAAACTAAAGTGTTACCAAAAGATTTTCATGTGCTGTTGGTTTTGTGGCAATCTACACACACATACACACACACACACACACACACACACACACACAGAGTGAGAGAGAGAGAGAGAGAGAGAGAGAGAGAGAGAGAGAGAGAGATCAAAGCAGTTTTTGAAATAGTACATTTATTGTTATTTTGATTGTTTATGTAGTTTTGGCTCGCGTATGTGATTAGGATGCCTCCTGGATGCCTCTCTGGTGAGGTTTTCCGAGCACATCCAACCGGGAGGAGACCCAAAGGAAGACCCAGGACACAAGGCTTTCCCCCAGAAGGGCTGTTTTCATTATGATTCCCAATTCCTATCTAAAAAAAATTAAAATATTTCATCCAACCAATAAAAGAAAAGTGTATTTAATACAAAAAAAAGTCAACCTTCAAATAATTATGTTCAGTTATGCACTCAATACTTGGTCAGGAATCCTTTTGCAGAAATGACTGCTTCAATGCGGCGTGGCATGGAGGCAATCAGCCTGTGGCACTGCTGAGGTGTTATGGAGGCCCAGAATGCTTCGATAGCGGCCTTAAGCTCATCCAGAGTGTTGGGTCTTGCGTCTCTCAACTTTCTCTTCACAATATCCCACAGATTCTCTATGGGGTTCAGGTCAGGAGAGTTGGCAGGCCAACTGAGCACAGTAATATCATGGTCAGTAAACCATTTACCAGTGGTTTTGACACTGTGAGCAGGTGCCAGGTCGTGCTGAAAAATGAAATCTTCATCTCCATAAAGCTTTTCAGCAGATGGAAGCTTGAAGTGCTCCAAAATCTCCTGATAGCTAGCTGCATTGACCCTGCCCTTGATAAAACACGGTGGACCAATGCCAGCAGCTGACATGGCACCCCAGACCATCACTGACTGTGGGTGTCAGTGACGGCCTTCTGGACAGCAGTCGGGTCGGCAGTCTTACCCTTGATTGCGGTTTTGACTAATGAACCAGGCTGGGAGTTTTTAAAAGCCTGAGGAATCTTTTGCAGGTGTTTAGAGTTCATTGGTTGATTCGGATGATTAGGTTAATAGCTCATTTACTTTTCATGATATGCTAATTTTTTGAGATAGGAATTTTGGGTTTTCATGAGCTGTATGCCAAAATCATCAATATTAGAAACATTAAAATGCTTGAACTACTTCAGTGTAATGAATCTAATATATATGAAAGTCTAATGTTTATCAGTACATTACAGACAATAAAGAACTTTATCACAATATGCAAATTTTTTGAGAAGGACCTGAATAAGACCTTACAGCTCACAATGCATGTCAGAAAAAATGAGAATCATGAGGTCAAAGGAACTGCCTGAAGAGCTGAGAGAGATTTGGCTAAGGTTCCTAAGAGCAGTGGCCTCTATAATCCTTAAAAGGAAGATGTTTGGGATGACCAGAACCCTTCCTAGAGCAGGCTGTCTGG